CCTCACCACCCTACCCTCGATCAACTCCTCCACTTGAACCAGTCAGGCTGTCCGACCAGTCCGACCTGTACCTCCTCACCGGTAACGGTTCAACTCGTCCGGAGCCCACGGCTCGGAGTAACGGTCCCGGCCGGGGACATTGCTCACTGCACGACATTGCAGCCTCTCGGTTCTTCTGTGTGTTTGGTGGGAATGTGGTGTGTTTAGGGAGGACTCGCAATGCAGCGAAATGATTGTGGTAGACAAAGGGTTAATTCATGATGGCAGTTAGGGAGAAGTAAGGCGTCGGAATAATCAATCAATTTTGTTGGTGTATGCTAAGCTTGTGCTATTGCCTGATATCTGCGGCCCGCACACATCAGAGACATTGGCGGCCAACATCAGAGACACCAATACCTCAGACACATCAACATCAGACACCAGCGACTCAGAAACATCGACATCAGCCACCAGCGGCGGTTCGTCTGAAGCTGCCTCCATGACGTCATCAGTGAGTGACCATCCGACAGGGAGGGGAGAGGAGAGGTCAGCCGCCGTCCGCTGCCAGGTCTCCCAGTCTTCCGGGAGGATTAGCGCTGCAGATACCGCCATAAGCGTTCCAGCCGCTTGTGGGCAGCGGCTGGGGGCCGACAGAGCTACCAGTTTCGGCTGGACGCTGGACCTTCATCCACAGACAGGTGCAGTGGCATTGATTGATGTCATTCCGAGAATGGAGACTCTTTGAGAGGCTATACTTGGTTACAGCCACGTTCAAACTGACGCTCCTATTTTACGGGCTAGGTTAAAAGGCACACATTATTCTACGTAACAATGACATATAATCAAAAGCTGCTGTTGTGTACAACCTTATTCCACAGTGTGACCTTCTATCTGACCTTCTACCTGACCTTGATCAATGTAGAAAATAGACATTGATCAAAATTTAGATAAAAATGTTTGGACATGTTCATGGCATAATTATAAAAAACGTTTTCAATTTTATGCATCTATACCTTTGCTAATAGATGGTTATTCGATATTTCCTCGGCTTCATAGGTATCCAAGATTCACTAATCCGCATCCAACTTGCCACATGTTGCGTGCTTCAGTTCCATATCAGTTGTGATTTACACTATCTCTGATACAGGGAAGGCCACACTGAGGGTTGGGCAGATGCCGACAACCAGACCGCATTCATCTGATACGACAGGATACAGCAAAAACACGAGCAACATGGAATTTCCCGGCCATGGGGCGATGTTATTGCGAGATCATCCCGATTTTGACACTGTAATTGGACCGGCACCAGTGCGGAACGTCATGTTTTCGAGCCGTCACTTTGCTTCAACCCTCGTGGACAATGGCGGGACGCAGTCACTCAGTCAAGGACTTTGGGATGGGCCTACTTATTTGATGTCAAAGAAAACATATCCTGCTCGGTACTCAGTCTAACATAATTTACTAACAGCTTGATCCACTGAAAGTCAGAGAAGTGAAACATTCTTATTTTAGAGAGACACTCACTTCATAACTACACTCAGAAACCACCATTGACGGCATTCAGGACAAACGAGGGCTGCTAATATGTTTCGGATAAGTGAGCTCGCGCTTGCCCCTTCTATATGCTCCCGCCGCTGGTACCTCAAGAGCCGTGAACAATGAATGTGCTCCTATTCAGACTCCAGCTTTACGAAATTATCTGTTTCTATCGCGCTGACGGTGTGCAACGGTAGCTATCTCCGTGGTGACTGCATTTGTGGATGCCGCTGTAACACTGAACTGCAAACTCATCGCGGCATTCGATCGCTCATCGACTGCAGACTCTGCGACTATTCACGCAGGACAATTGGTTTGTATCTTCAGTTTATATCCAGCTAGCTTCCGTGTCTGATGTTTCTGCCGCCATTCGCGTCGTTCTGGAGTGGTGTCCTCAACGTCTTTCTCGGTCCCTTGGCCCCGACACAGTGTCTGTCTCGGCCCCTCGTCCCTGCAGTGTCTACCTCGGCCCCAGCGTCTGCCTCGCCCCCTCAGCCCTGGTATCTGTCTCGGCTCCTTGTCCCCGGTATCTGCAGTCTGCACTGCCGGCTCCCTCCGCCGCGCTGATGTCACCACCACCGGCCGGTGTGGGCCGTAATCCGCCGGTAGCCAGTCTGCGGATGGCTCACTTTTGCGATCGTTTATCGCTGGGAACAGACGGCCACTGGCCAGTCGGCTCAGGGGTAGTGTCGCCGCGGTGCATGTCGCCTGACGACGGAACGATCTGATATACTGGCGGTGGCAGTCAGTCGCGCCGTGGTGTGACTGCTTCATACTGAACAGCCCGATTAACACCCTCACGTGACTGCTGAATCGAATTGGGTGCCCACTGCCCAGCAACCCACATTTGAGTGCACAAGTTTTATGGTCTAAGTGTGTTGAGTTCTGAATTGTACATCCTGTAACGAAGCCTTCGTAGATATTTCGAGAGGGATAGCAGAACACCTATTTTCTTTTTGTCCCGTAGATGAGGATGGTATTATATAATATCACACGGGGCCGGTAAAATGTTTCATTCAGGACCGAGGGATTTGTTGAGTTTTCCGCACGAGACCGAAGGTCGAGGGCGGAAAATTCAACAAAGCCCGAGGTAATGAAACATTCCGGCCCAAGTGTGATATTTATTTTAGCATATGCCGTTAATTTCCATATTTAAGCTTCTTTAACAATTGTACATGCTTGAAAGAAGTGAAAAAACCAAGAACAAATATCAAGAACTAAAAAATGTACATATTCCCTGACCAAGATAATAAACCAAGCCGACTCAAGATCACTGTGTTCCATCCTTGTGTCTGGCTCTGAGTTGGATTCATATCAAACCAAGAACAGCTATTTCAATCTATGTCATATGAGAAGCTAGAGTAACGTTCGTTTTCAATAGGTATTAGAGAAGAGTGGAAGGTATACCATCCTGTGAAGTGAGCGCTTGGTTTTTTACCCATGTCAGTATGAATAAAGTTTTTACTGATCAATGTGAAATGCGTTTTTTGTCAATTCATTGCAGTTGTAAAAGGCATGAAATTGACGCCATAAATGTAGGTGATTAATTAATATGTCTGTACATTAAGATTTAGAATATTATCTTATTGAAAACCAACATTTACAATCTGTTCAATAGTTCAAAGCGACCAAATGCAACACGTAAGTTCACGTTAGATTTCTATCAGTTAAGCTCTTTTCCAGCGCCTTTCTCCGTCTCAGGAAATGCTTCAAAAGTTCGCTGATAAAATGTTTTGCCCATGGGCCGAAACCTTTGACCAATTGCCTTCAACATTATGCGGTTTAATCCAAAAAGCTTTTACCGCACGCTCGCGCTAATGCTAAAGGCATACTTCGGCACATGCTAATCCGTCATATATTAGATTTTTTTCAATATTTTTCTTCATAATTTGTAGTTTCAGGATTTATGGCGCTTCTGACAATGAATTATCTATTATCCACCCCACTTAGTGCATTACACCGAGCAGTTAATTGCACTTTCATCAAGCGACTTATCAGGGCCCAGCTGTTGCGAACCATTGTGAGAGCCATCAAAGTCACAAGGCTGCGCTATTTTAAATGGATTCACTTAACGTGACATCATATCTCCAAGTATGAGTCCTTCCTGCTAAGCTGCCATCACCATCATTCAGGATAAGCGACGGCTGACAGGACCGACAGCAGCATAGATTGGCTTCTCGGGGATTTCTCGAATTCCCTGGCTCCCTGCATACCTCGAAATGTCAGTCCATTCTTCCTGCTGCACGGACTTGCGATATTCATCATCCGCCAGGGTCCATCCACTCGGTTCCAGCACCACTCCTGATTCGGATATATGACGCCAGGTATATTCTTGATGCGTATCTTTCTAGGTCAACATGATATCATTGCAACGGTAAAAGTGTCACGAATAAAAAATGTAGTTGGCACCGGGCTCTGGTTGCCCTTGACAGGGCTTCCACCATGTAAGGCGTGGGCTGAGTTAAATCATAACGAGCGTATTTTGCATTGAAATTGAGGATTTGCAGAGAAAACATGATGTTCAATTACCCACGCATGTGTGCTTGCACCTGATTTGCTTACAGCAGTCATCGGGATCGGGCAAACGTTGCCTGTATTCACTAATTTAGATAAATACTTGTAGCACACTCGACCTCCAGACTACAAGTACCATGAATGATGAATTATCTGACATGACATCTCTTATCTCTCATGACAAACTTATCATTTGTGGAGATGCATATCGTTGGTATCGCTGCTTTGATGTAATGTTAATCCAGAAAGATCGGAACATTGATACGGCTGAATGTATTTATGCCACGCTCACCGAGATATTGAAAGGTATTCTGACATAAGACCGGGATATGGATGAAATTAGTTTTCTAATTACCGTCCTGGTTTGGCTTTATACTGATTATACTCACTTTCCAGATCCGATAAGTCCAGTTCCCGTTTCCATCGCACACTCTCATCCCTGTTCTTATCTCGGTCCCATCTTACATCCTTCCCATTTCACCTCGTCAACTCCACTTCCCCAATCTATCCCGTCTAAACGAGGCATGCGGCGTCAACTCTCAGTGAAAGTGAACAGGGAGGTCGCGGGAGGTGCTCAGTCAGTACGCTGGAGACGGACACAGCTCCACTCAATGTGTCGGCTCGGATCGAACAGAGTCGTTGAGATACGACCAATGATAAAGTGCCGAGAAGTTACAGGAATGATAATGTGTCGGTGGCAATTATCGAGAGAGGCGAGACAGAAAACAAATTCCCCCATTTCACGTGAGCGATGCCACGCTGTCATGTCTTGAAATTCTGCAACTTCACACGCACATTCCACCATGATAGAGCTATTACGGTTCGATCCTGGTTCGGCTTCCATTTTTAACTTTACCAATAGCCATATCAACTAATTTTGAACTGGTCCTATAAGTGACCTCTGACATGTCACCCACTCGAACTATGTCTGACCTTTGTCACACACTGACCTGACCCTCTCCCTGACTGACCTCAGTGGTGTCGACGTTACTGCCTGCGCTACGCTGTGCTGATGACCTTTCTCGGTGCGCGTCCTGGCCTTGGTGCTGCCTCCTGTGCCGGGAAGCTCTCCGAGCCTTGGCATCCTGGAACGGAAGCTCAGGTCACCAACCTGTCCTCGGATGGCGATCGGGAACAGGGCGTACGCTGGAAACACTGAGCGTCTTCGCGGAGGTGCGGCTTTAGTGTTGCATTGATGTATGTTGCAAGGTCATTACTCATTTATGAATGCGGTATACAGCTATCGTGAGTAAATCAGAAAGGCTCCTATCTTTGTTTTAGATTTATAATGCGTGTGTGTGTGTGTGGAAGTTTTTGGGTCTGTTGTGTCTATGTTGTCCACATAATTATTCGAGTTAAAATTATGCAGCCCCCACCGTGCAGCTTTGCTTTTTTCTGACGTTGTCAATAGACAAAAAAAAAAATAGATGTATCAGCTGATAGCATCCAAAAAGTGTGGTATGTCATATGTGTCTTCTATCTATCCCCTAGAACTATGGCTTCAAACTTACAGATTCTCCCTAAATCCAATAACAATCATTATGTAAGTGCTTCATTATAGCAACAAATCGAATGCTACGAAAAACAATCCGTCACCTAACCAAAAATTAACTGGATATGATTCCACCTAATTGTGAAACATGCAGGCATGAATATATTTCGCTTTTCACATGTCTGTCTCTGACACCAATCTGGCAGGCACCCAGTTGTCCGCCTACATTGCATTCCGTTATATGGCCATCGTTGTAATCTCGTATACCAACCTGGCAACAATCACTGTTCACATGCAACCAGAATTTCCAATTAGGCACGTTTCCAATAATGCCAACAACAGGGCGGCCCGGCACGGCACCCATAGCACTGCACGGAATACATCAGCATTTGATACTGCCGGCTATTTTCACTGCGGCTTGCGACATTTCGTAACGTGCCGAATGGCTATCCTGAAACAGTATAAATTTATACCTAGCTAAATTTGAGCTACACATTTATTCATCGACAATATGCAATTGTACACAGATTAACAACTACTGGCACATGTTCGCTGTTCATCCTTTGCCAATGTATTTACGACCGTTCGCAGCTGAGGGCTCCATCATTTTTCGACATCATCGTTTTGATATGACGTCACCAGCGTCTGGATCCCTCCCGGATGCGGTGAGTTCGTTTCGTGACTCAGCCTCGTTCGGGGTCGATCGATGATCAGACAGCCAGTGTGCGGGCCTCCTCCCGGCAGGCCCTGCACTAAACTCATGATTGGATTCATTACTGAGGGAGGTTCACTGCGTCAAATCGCACATTGTTAACATGGTTATTCAATTATAGCGTTAAAACGGACCTCTCACATCTGCATGCTTCAAAGTTACGCCCAGACCACAGCATCATCTGCCGGTGAGGGTTCTTGGAAAGCTTCTGGGCAAAGCCGGCTATCTTCATGTTTTTTTTTGTCCAGCCCAGACGCACAGGTGTTACTTTGACTAGCTGATGAGCGGTGGGCCGAGGGTAGTGACGTCACACGATTGGTGAAATCATCAAACGGAGCGGAACGCAAGGATGAAGAATTGGTGAAAACTGCACTTTCAATATCTTAAAGTGCAGAACGTGTTTGCTGTATTTTCTAATAATATTTTTTTGTTTTTTACTTAGGTATCATCTCCATTCTCCAGACCAGTTAGTGCGCCTTTGCAAGCGCACTGACTGACGCCGGACAGAATAATCGGCCATACCGTTATTCACGCTGCGTTACGTTTACCCCGGCCGCCACAGCGCCGCGGCTGAATTGTCATTGTCCACAGCACCTAAATGGCCCGACTGAGCCGACTATCGGACCGATCCCAGCCCGGCCTTATGGGCTACTTTGTCCAGCTTCGGTACTAGCCAGCGACCGGTACGACGGGGCATTTTTACTGTCACACTGTGCACAACAAAGCAGAAATTCAGGTTGTTCACTTTTTCAGTTCATCGGTCCGCTATACGGTGGAAGGGCCGGGCATAATGACAGGGAGGTCCGTGGTATCGGCATGACAACCCGGAACTGGGTCCGTCCGCGGCACCGCGTAGGTGCTGTCCGAGCCCGCACGAACCGTCAATAGCCCAGACCCTGAACCTGAACAGGGAGGTACTGACGACGATACCTAATGAAGATGACGTGGTGTCTGTCAGAGACCGACAGTTTGGTCAGAACGCTAACGTATTCCTCTGTAATCTCCAAACGTTTTCCATCCATTTAGGGCAGGTTATCATGAGCTCTCAGGTGCTGCAGACCGTCTCAGTCCCGACTGTGGGCGTATCAGAGCCGCTGGCCCTGCCGCAATGCAGCCGAGTGGGATAAATCACCGGCCCAGTGTGGTGCTCAGACATCACTATCGGACAGCTCTGGACGCGGGAGGAGCCCGGAACCCGGCACGGGGCGGACTCCCCTGTCGTCGACCCCATTCCCGGGCCAGTGGCCGTGCGGAGCTGTCCACCCACGCCCCACTCCGGGCTGCTCGTCCTACGACCCACCTGCCGCTGCTGCAGAGAGCGGACAAAGCTGCTGCCCGCCCCTGACCCCAGCCGGACGGACGTCAGTTGGCGGGGACAGAGATCGCAGAGCTGACGGAGAGGGACAAAGATCGCCAGGGTGACAGAGCTGGACAAAGATAGCCGGGCTGACAGGGATGTCTCGGGGGCAGGACGAAGGGAGGGATCCGGGAATGTCAGCGCTCCCGCAGAGAGCCGAGATCTCAGGAGGGCGGGTGCTCACTTCTGGGATCTCTACCCACCAGTCTCCCCTCCATCAATCTGCATTAGATCTTGCAGCTGATGAGGTCAGCCAGACTATCTCACTGCCGGGCTGTCGAGCTCCATAGCTCCTTACCAAGCAAACTTAGCGATGGGCCATCGCCAATCTGGCTCGAATCTTACCTTGGTAGCGTTTCTTTCATGCACGGGACTGGCCCGCTGCAGCTCACTAACTCCGTGGGACATAAAACTGGTCAGCGGCGGGCGGTTGGGCGGGGGCGGGGGCGGCTCAGCGGTGACCTTATACGGCAGTCGGCCGTCGCGGGCGGCAGCCCCTCCCCCTCCCCCAGTGACGGCCGTGGGGTGACCAGCACGGTCTCTGCCATTCAACGAGCTGGGGCGGGCCCGTCGAGCGGGATACAAAAACCGATGTAAGGGTGCGCGTGTGTAGGTGCGCGTGCGCTTGTTTGTCCGCCTGTGTGCATGTTTACAGATGACGGACCCGGCTACTATCGCCTGTTAGCCGTCCGACAATGAGACGACTGTCTGGTTTTGTCCACCTTGCAAACAGGGGCACGAGGGACTAAATATGGACGGGACGGTGCACAGCGCCCTGTTCAGCCACCCTCTATCTAACAGAGGGGCAAACACGGAAGAGGAACTGACCAGCGCCGTTCTTGCACAGCGGATTTTGTCCTCCACCCTGATTCTATTTGCAGATCTGCTAAAACTGCTCCAGCCTCAGTGTGTAAGGGGCGGGTGCAGCAGCGGTCCTTTGTGATACATAGTCGCAGTCACGGAGCAGAGATTGAAGCTCATATTAGGCTACGGAAGGCTGCCCCCTCGTGTAAGGACGAATGGGGATTAGGAAGACATAATTGAATTTGAAAGGACAGACGAGAATGACGATTAATCTGGAAGAGCTGAGATTGGGAAGGGGAAGAGCCGGCGTACCTAAATGGCTAAGAATGGAAAAGCCAGACGAGTCTAAACATCCATGGTGATTAGAGGTATTATCAGTATATCAGTCAATTCAAGCTGACAGGAGGGGTTGACAGATGGTCCAGCCGGAGGTGGCGGATCTGTCCAGTGGGAGTTGTCAGGTGGGTAGTGACAGGTGCCAGTCGACAGTGTGGGTAGTGATAAACTGCCTCCATCACCGGGCACTGACGGGCTGTCGGGTCAAATGGGGGCGACAGAGTGACGACCAGCGGTCAGCACCACTAATAGCCCCTCACTCCACCTCCGCCAGCCACCGTCGGACACCGGTGACGTCAGAGATGACGTCAGTGGTGACAGAAGCTCCGGCGGCGTGACTGACCGCGCCCTGTCGTCCGGAGAGAAGTGACCCGCCCTCATCCCACGGCTGGTCACCGCTCGACTGGTCACCGCCCCAGATGATCAGAGTTTATTGGTCTGACCTAGCGGCGCCACCAAAAAGGCCAGCTTACAGTCACGACTCAGGAGGTAAGATATTGTGAAAGGTTGCTGAAAAAGCAGCTACTAAGTAAACTAGCGCTGTTGCAGACCGTAAGAACGTGCATACAAACATATAAATTCATAACTTAGTAGGCGAGAGCGAAGCATTGCCTTATCTACCAATGGCGCAGTTCCTAGCCATACCCTTTTAACTAACTATTCAATATTCATTCAGCATTCAGAACCCCACGACAAAGAAGTGCAGCTGTGCATAATAATACCAAAACCGCACTGGGTCGCCACCTAACACCTCCATTTACGGAGCAACTCCTCTGTGATCGTCACAAAGATTTCTGCTGGCAGCACTGCGCCATCCAAAGGAAGCGCAGATGGCGAGGGCGACAAAACGTCGACCCTGCAGCTTACACAACTGCACAGTGCACACGTCCACTGCACAGTGCACACACGGTCCTCTCGGGTCAGGAGGTGCCGTGTCGCTTCCGGCCGACGGCGGTCTGTTGGCTCTCCGCTGGCCAAGTCAAACACTCGAGGAGCGGCGCGCAGTCGCTCAGGGGCGGGGGCGGGGGCGGCAGGCCAGCTGAGCCAGCGGCGGGGGCGGCGGCGGGGGCGGTGACAGCTGGCGCCAATTTGGGCGGGGGCGGCCAATGACCAGGCGGAGCAGCCCGGCGGGAACGAGTCTGCAGATGATCTGATCTGGACGGATTGGGACGGCGCACACCTCCGCAAGTGTGGGCAGATGAACGGGTCTGAAGGAAAGGGAGAGGGGGAGAGAGGGAGAGAAGATACATAAACTCGCACAGCTGTAGTAAATCTTGCTGTCGAATGTTAGAGTAATGGATCAAGAGAAAACAGGACAGCGTGAGGAGAAGACGGGAAAACAGCGTAAAGGGGAGAATAAAGTGGTTTAGAGTCGGGATAAAAC